TATCAGAAATTCACATGGTGTCAACATTTCAGAGAATAAGTATATTATTCTGTATCTCACCTCCTAAATTTAAGCATGTTGCAATTCGTGGATGTTTGTTTCTTTAGATATGTGCCTTAAAATCATCTCTCTCTCTCTCTCTCTCTCTCTCACTCACTCACTTGCTAATCCCCAGTGCTCTATTGAGACTCTATTTTCCATCTACACATACATGTATTTCATATCCAAATTTTACATTTTATCATAAATTCAAAAGTTATCCACATCTTATAACATTATGACCCTATCTTCATCATACATATTTCAGACTACATAATTAGTAGTTCTTAATCGTCATTTATCCCCAAACATAATCAGAATCATTTTATTATTATAATCATCAACTGTTCCTTTTTCCTAATTTTATGATTCCATCTATGGAACCCAGTTAAAGTATTTTCTCTCTGATTTAATGGATTTTTCTCAATCATCATAATTTGCCATTGAAACCAAGTGATGTTTAATTTGTAATCATCCCATCCCACTTCCGCTTCGCCTTTGGGCCTCTTTGATTACCATATACACCCATCAAATTAGGACACATCACTTTTTCACCCATCTGATCCTCTTTCCCACAATGCACATCAGTTTTCTTAACCTGCTTTTTAAATATTTCCTCCTCCTTTCTAAAAACAGATGACGTCGCTCTTTCTTGTGCTGCTGACGTGAGCAAATCTGCTCTCGCTTGCATTTCAGTACACTGTTCTGACAAAAGTTCCCAATTTTCTGTCTTTTCCTTCATCTTCGAAAGCGCAGTCTGGAGTTCCGAAAATTGCATATTAAGACAGTTCATAATGTTAAATTGTATATTCTGGAAGGCATTTATAATTCCTTCGGTTACATCCATCTTTGTTGAAAAGTAGATAGGCAAAGATATGCACCTCATTTGAAGAAACGCAGCTTGCTTACTTCTTCCAACCGAAGAGCCATAAAGTACAGTACTTAAATCGTAAAAGTCAAAACCTGAGCAGAGCTGATAATTTATAGTGTCCCAGATTCCGGCTTTAACCAAATAGTTTCGATTGTAGATTCTGCCATAATAAAACCTCCTTTAAGTTAATATCCACCTCTGGTAGCATCTCATCTCCTTAAAACCTCTTTTTTTTTCCCTTATTATTATTATAAACGTTTATAAGAAGCTATTCCCATCGAGAACAGGGGATACGAGGTAAAAGTTTATATTTGTCTCTGCCTTTGTCAGTTTCTGTTATGCAGGCGTGACGCAGTAATAAAATACCAATCCGTCTGGGTTTAAGCTTGTTAGCCGCTTCTGATTACACTATCTTCTTTGAAATCAGCCTCTTAAGTTTATTTTTTGTACTTACAGAGTCAATGTTGAAACTCATTAATCTTTGTTGGTGCAGTCATTTATAAATCTTCCATGCTTCCCTCCGCGGAGCTTCACAGCTAGGACGACATTAAAAAAATGGTGCTGGCGAGGATCCTTTGTCTGGAGAAGGAAATGATCTGAGAGGTGGTTGCTTTCCACACACACCCAGAAATTTTCCGCCCTCCTGCGACGCAGGGTGGGTTCCTCCTAACCCCCCTGCTCCCCAATTCTTTGGGGAGAGTCTGGATCCACGGCAGGCAGCAGAAATCTGGAGAGCCAGATTCCTTGCTGCCTTTTGCTGTTTGTAGCTCTGCCTCTCCAATGTTTTTTGTTAAATATTTAATGAATAAGCTAGAACTTGGCAAGACACAGTTCTAGTTGTATGTTGTTCTCTGGTATGTATATGTGTTTGAATTGAATTTATTTATTACGGTTGGGTGACCAGCTCATAAAACATATTTATGGTTCAAATATATAAAATGCAGTTTAAAAATGTACAATCAGTTCATAAAACATTTTACAAGGGGGTGCTGATAAGTATAGAGCCTTTCCCAGAAAAAATTGAGCTAGGAAGCTATAAATCGCAGGGTGTATTGGCTAATTTGTCTGTATTCAATGGTGCAAAAATCAACCACCTTCTGGGATTCTTTTGAGGCTTGGGAAGTTTCAGAAGAGTCCCAGAATCTCACGGTTTTCCCCCTCTGACCCCTGGGGGAGCAGGGTGATTCTTTAAAGGGTCCTGGAACCCACCCTAGGGCCCTTTGGAGGCTTCCCCCCCCCCCCCCCCAGGCCAGAGGGGGCAAAATCGCCACCTTCTGTGACTCTTTTGAGGCTTGGGAAGTTTCAGAAGAGTCCCAGAAGGCGATTTCACCCCCTCTGACCCCCGAGGCGGGCAGGGTTAGCCTCCAAAGGGTCCTAGGGTGTGTTCCATAAGATGGACCTCTCCATAAGGCTCACCAGTTTTTAGGAGAAGAAAACAGATTTTTTTCCTGTTTTCTTCTCCTAAAAATTTAGTGCATCTTATGGAGAGGTGCGTCTTATGGAGCGAAAAATACGGTAGTTGTGTACTGTCTGTAAAATATGGGGAGAATCAGATACAGCATTTTTAAAGCTATCCTTTGAACCATTGGGTCGTCTAGGGCAAACTGGTTTGGACAGGGTCTTTGGGTTATAGGGAGTCCTATATGTATATGCGTTCAAGTTGCTGTGGATTGTTTCAGTTAATTTCCTCTACCGTTTTTTAAAAGTCTCTAAACTGCAGAAGCCTGTGCTGCAGGGTCAGAAGACCAGCAGTGGTAAGATCAAATCCACGCGACGGAGTGAACTTCCATCGCTTTGTCCCAGCTCCTCACCAGCCTAGCAGTTTGAAAGCATGTAAATGCAAGTAGATAAATAGATACCACTTTGGTGGGAAGGTAAAACGGTGTTCCCTAGTCACGCTGGCCACGTGATAACGGAAAGTGTCTTCAGACAAGCTCTGGCTCTACTGCTTGAAAAACGGGATGAGCACCGCCCCGTAGAGTCGGACACAACTGGATTAAAATGTCAAGGGGAACCTTTACCTTTAGATAGAACAAAATTATTGATTTTACAAAGCTGAAGGGAATAACAAAATGCTTTGAGATTCTGCCACATGCATTTTAGAAGTAATGTAGCTTTAGGTAGAGACAAATCTCCTTGTATTCATTCCATTGTGTGTGTGTCTCTCCCCCCCCCGCCTTATCATTATAGCCAGAAACAGACAAATGTTGCCATTTATTACTGGCCAATCTAGATTTTGTTATTACCAGAACTTATCTCAGCAAGTCCTACCCATGAACTCAGGCAGTACTTTAGGACATGGCATGTGGTGAGGAGAAAACATACTCCTCCATTTTTGAACTTGCACCTCAAAATATGGATTCTAGCCCAGTGTGCCCTCCCCCCAGTTAGGAATTAGAAAGTGGTTTCCTTTGTGGCAGCACTTGCCAGGCATACAGAGCATCTGCCGTTTGCATGAGTAAGCCAATAGTCTTTAGCCTGCTCACTGCAAAAACATATCTGGAGAGGAGGGAGTGTGTGGTGGCTTGTTAATGTTTTTCACTTACTTGAAAATGGTGCAGATCCAAACAAACCTTTTGAACGAGAGGGTAGGAGTCACTCTATCTCTTCTGTAACTTCAGGGCTTGGAAGAAGCATCCTATTTTCAAGAAGCTGCATGGATGTAGCAAGGAGTGCAGTGGTGAAATCCTGATAACTTAAAGTTTTATAAATTGGGTAGTTTTCCTGACTTGGAGCTATTTCAAGCTGTGCGTTTTAGATCTGGCACAACAGCCAGATTCCTCTCTTGGATCAAACCAGATAAATGGAATTCAAAATACAAGTTAAAATACAAGCATATTATCACACTAGAAAGGTTGTAATAGTTACAGTGGCCATCTTTGCACTGCAATGCAAGTTCAAGTAAATGTTTACTTCATTTACAAAGAAGTAAAACTTTCTGGGTGTTTTAAATATTCTTAACTTGAATGATCTCTCCAGTTCTGCAAGAACAACAAAGTCTTTATTTGCCCTAAGATCTTTTCCTCTAGATTCATTTATCTATTCTTCCCTGGTACCAGATATACCTGGAACGTCTTTATAGAATCTTCAAAAGCCACATGTGCCATTTACCCTTTGTGTAAGAATTTGGCCAGCCAGGGTGCAGTGGTCAATTTTTCACCTTGAAATCTCTGTGAAAAACACCATCCTCTGAAAATGCAACAAACCAGCCCCAGGAACAACAGAAGAAACTTGAAATATTCAGAGATCCACTTCTGCTTTTACACTAATTGTAAATAATTGTAAATGTGATAATCAGATTATGGAAGCATGGTACAGAGAAATGTGGAATACAGTAATTAATGATAAATTGACCAGTGATATGCAAAGTAGAAAATGTATGTTAAAAAATAATGATTTTAGAGAAATATGGAATCCATTTCTGGAACATGGTACATGGAACATGTACCCTGGGAAGAAGAATTAATGTATTTCTGGAGAGAAATGGGGTGACATGAAAAGTAAAGTTAAAGTATTGGAACCTAGTTCTGAAGGGGAGGGAGGGAGGGTGGTGGAAAAATATAATAAGTGATATTGTATAAAAAATAGTGAGTTTAAGGAGTGTATTGTAGTATATGTTTTAATTTTTATTGTCTTTGTGTTTTTGTGTTTGTTATAATATAAAAATGAGCAAACGGCATGAATAAAAGCACTAAGAGAAGCTGTTCTAAGAACTAAACAGCTTTCTTAAAGGGTCATGTTTCTGCGTTCCATCTAAACCAACCCTACAAATCACTGATGATAGAGCAATCCACAGAATGGTTCTAAATCTTCTGTTCGCTGGCCTAGTTTTGTGGACTCAGGGAGTTTGAATAATGGATAATGATCAGAACATTAAAGAAAAAAACGTATACAAGATGGTGGCTGCTAAGAAACCCAGGTCTCAATCATTTTATGTTACCCTTCCCTGGCTCATCTTTATCACTCCTCTAAATTTAAACTGTATGAACCTTAAGACCAAGCTCCCTTTTTATGTTATTCTATAAAATGCCATGAACACTGTTAGCATGAGATTAATAATAGTTGTCTTTCCTTCTTATTTGTCTTTAAGCAAATGGTGATGAGCCTCCGGGTTTCTGAACTGCAAGTGCTTTTGGGATACGCAGGAAGGAACAAGCACGGTCGCAAACACGAGCTCCTTACAAAAGCCCTACATTTGCTCAAGGCTGGCTGCAGTCCTGCTGTCCAAATGAAAATCAAAGAACTTTACAGGCGGCGGTTCCCTCAGAAAATAATGACTCCTGCAGACTTGTCTATCCCCAGTGTCCACCCAAGTTCCATATCAGCCACCTTGTCACCATCTACCATTCCACAGCTTTCTTATGATGGCCACCCTCCAACTTCACCATTGCTCCCTGTTACTCTCATGGGACCTAAACATGAACTGGACTTGCCTCACCTTACTTCAGCACTCCATCCTGTCCATCCAGATATAAAGCTCCAGAAGTTACCCTTTTATGACTTGTTGGATGAACTGATAAAACCAACCAGTCTAGGTAAGATTCTAATGATTTTTTATAAATATCTGTGTTCTGCAAAAGATACAAGGAACTCTTTATAGTTTTCTCTTTGAGAAAGTAGAGCATGGGTCCATTGCTTGGTCCATCCAGACTGTAATTTGATGATGGATTGGTCTTGGGGGATATAGAAGAATCATTGTATGAAGTCTAGTCTAAAGATGACGAAGACAAAAATAAGTGATGCTCACTGACAGCACAGATGATTAAATCATTTTAAGCTATTGTAAGCATAGCTTGCAATTTAACAAACACTTAGAGATGGTTTTAATGAAGCAGGCCTTTGGATGCTATGCTATGGGCTTCTTTCAGTGATTGTTCTTTAATACATATCAAGTCATAAGCATTTGATTGCATCAAGCTCATATTTGGAAATTCACAGATTCCAAACATACCCTCTATTAGGAATGTGCAATTTCAGGGGGTTTTGTTTGTTTGTTTCTTTTTTGGACTCCAATTTCAAGAATTCTCCAGGCCCACAGACCCATACCTACAGACACCTACATTTCACTCACCTAGACCATCTATCTCCAAGGCTGGTTTTACTGGTCTTTGACCGTAATAAAGTATTTATTCATTCATCTTCAAGGCTGCATGGCTATCTCAGGCCTTGCTTCCTGTACAAGAAAGGAAGCTGCCATTGTACTTTTTAGCGCTTGTAGTTCTTTGAAGGGAATTCTCAATTTAGCCTAAGGTGTATTGAGACTACAGCTCCCAAGAAGCACCATGGTAGATTCCATTTTCATACATAAACAATAGAAGCAAGGTCACAGACAGCCGTGGAACTGTGAATGTAGGTCCTGTTTCAGTGGAATGAAATATAGATATCTGTAAATGTAGACTGGGACTCGTGGAAGTTTGCCTTGAAGATTTTTGGAGAATTTGGGAATTGGACTCCCACCCCAAAGGACACGTCCTTATTTATTCTTCATTATCTGATTTGTTGATTGCAATGGAGTCTTTATTTTTCATGAAATGTTTTATCAAGTGCTAACAATTGCTGACCCCAGCCATTAAGATTTAAAATGTTAAGCATTTGCAGATGTTAATTCATTAGTTTAATGTGGAAACCAATAAGTAGTCACCTCATAAAACTGTATACTAGCCCTTTTGTTATTCAAATACATTAGATCTATAAAGTTTTAGAGTTGGAAGGTGACCTAAGTCAAACCTGCTACCAATGCAAGAAATCAGTGCTAAACTGTTAGAGGGAAGGCCATACAACTTCTGCATAAAGTGCAAATTTCATGCATCTTCGAGCTTGATATGATGATTCTTAAAACACCAACACAGAGAGGCATTTCTCAAGGTTAATACTTTGCAGTAGCATACAGTGGGGTCTCTACTTAAGAACTTAATCCGTATTGGAAGGTGGTTCTCAAGTTGAAAAGTTCTTATGTTGAATCTGCATTTCCCATAGGAATGCATTGAAAACCATTTAATCCATATCTGCTCTTTTCCGTCCATAGAAACTACAGTGGAACCTCTACTTCAGAACTTAATCCGTTTTGGAATGGTGTTCTTAAGTTGAAACGTTCTTAAGTTGAAGCAAAATTTCCCATAGGAATGGACTGAAAACCAATTAATCCGTTCTGGCTGTTTTTTTGTTATGTAGAGGTGCGTTCGTACATTGAAGCATTAGTTCCCATAGGAACTAATGCAAAGCTGGTTAATACGTACTCTACCACTAGGGGGAGAATTTTTTTTTTTAACCTAAGATGACCTAAGGTTAAAAAAAGAGCAGGAAAGGTTTTTTTCCCCTGTTCTTATCTTGGATTTCTGTTCTCAAGTAGAAGCAAAATTTAGCAAATGGAGCTGTTCTTAAGTTGGATTGTTCTTAAGTAGGGACGTTCTTAAGTAGAGACGCCACTGTACAGTGCAAAGAGACTGCACTTTAAGCCCATATTCATTATTTAACAGTAACATGAATTTATTTTGGCTGAAATAACAAAACTTGTGTCAGTGTACAATTATTTCCAGATCTAACTGTATTTGTACATGGGTCCTAGTGAGCATTCTTTTTAATGTGTTTAATCAGCTCATGGTCTTCTGTTTGAATGGTCCAAACACCTGAGGTTCTTTATATTTCAAATTTCTTCAACACTTACTTGTTCATTCTTTCAGTGGCTGGTGTAAATGCCTGTCCGTTGCAGCTCTTCCTATCTAGATTATAGCCAGCCCTGCAAGGTCTCTGATTTCTTTAATTAATTCTATCTGTGCCTCTTTATGACACAAGGGGAATTTTGATTTCTGCACCTGCTTAGTGTTATCATTTTAGTAGTTTGCTAGTAACATTCCCTTTAATTTTCAGCCCTGCTGGGTTGGGCTCCAGCCCTCTCTCACACAACTCTGTCTTCTCGTGTGGGGTTCTGCCACAACCTGAACCAAAGGAGCTGGAAATACTCACTGTGGTGCACAGAGAATGAACATTGTGTGGGTGGGGGCAGCACTCTGTGCTCACACAGCCGCGCACCTTAGAGGGCACATTGATTGTTGGTGAAATCCAGAAGAGTTGGCTCCCTGGCTCTTTAAACCCTAGCCAGCACAGCTGATGGTGAAGGCTTCTGGGAGTTGCAGTCCAAAAACACCTGAGTAACCCAAGGTTAAGAACCACTGCTATAGCCTTTGTTACTCTTAATAAGTAGATTTTCTTTCTTTCTGTGGATAAATAGTTTTCAGATAATACTTTTGATTCTGAAATATTTATTTAATTATAATTACCCAGATTTGCTTTCAGTGTTCTCTAGTGGGTGTTAATGATTCAGACATTTTGTTTTGTATGTATATTTGTTGGAAAGAATTTGCCCTTAACACTTGCTGGAAGCGCATTGGTGCTTTTCTTTAGTATCTGGAGGAGCATACTTAGGGTGTAATGGAATGGCCCCTTCCAACCCCATTAGTCTGTCATTCTATTAATTATGCCATTATGCAATTAAAGTATGCCTAACTATTGTCAGGCCTGTTCCCTCTAGGAAGAAGCATGGTTGATACACAGTCTAAACCTGAGCAAAAATACCCTAGCCACAAATATCATTTGGACCTTGATCTGAATACATTCTGTCAGGTTAGTCCAGCTAGCACCCGAACCACTCCAGGAATCCTACAAAATTTCATAGACTTCCTGGGAAGAAAAATCAGAAGCCTGTGTTTCCCACAGCTGACATTTATCCCGTTAATGGGTTAGTTCCATAATGCAACCGGACAATCACAGACAGCCATATCAACATTCATCTGAGTATCAAAGTGCAAGTATTTTTTGGTGTTGCAATAATTCTAGGCAACATCAGCTTGTGTAATTCTGCAAGTTTTTAAACTCTACATAGCTTCTGTGTTCCATATGCACAAAATTACTTTAAAAAGTAACAAGTAAAAATGTATTAAAGACAGTCTTGCAATTATGAAAAAAACTGTGGACACAAATACTTAAGATTACGTCCTTGCAATTTGTAAAAAGGTGCAAAGTTAAACTTAGTTATAAGCATGTTTGAATCAAAAGCACAGGAGCATATCTTTTAGGAGTAAAAAAGAACAATGAGAATGTTCCAATTACATTTTAAAAATGCAAGAGCTTTAATAGCCTATAAAGCACACAGTACATCTCTAGAAGACAGAAACACAAGGCTGGAAGATGGGCCTCTCAGATTGGAAGGCGTCCAACATGTTACTGAGGAAGAGCGGAGGACAAATACAAGTAGCTCCAGAGCTAATGAAGTGGTTGGGCCAAAGCTGAAAGGACACTCAGCTGTGGACGCGCCTGGAAATGAAATGAAAGTCCGATGCGCCAAAGAAGAATACTGCATAGGAACTTGGAACGTAAGATCTGTGAACCTTGGGAAGCTGTATGTGGTCAAACAGGAGATGGCAAGAATAAACATTGACATCCTAGGCGTCAGTGAACTAAA